CTGCTCTGCATCAAAAACACCCAAAACAATCAAGAATTTTAAGGCTTTAGAATGCACACAAGCTGCAATAAAGTCTGAATTAAAATAAGAATAAAAATGAAAGGCAACATAAGTGGAGAGCATCAAAATAACAATGGTAACACTTTAAGAGGACTCTTCATTCAAAAAACACTGTGGAGATCACACATCTTAATATTCAGATCTAAAAGTAATGAAACTAAAAACTCATACACGTTAGCTTTAGCATTTACTCGATTATTTTGCTGGTACCAGATGAACTAGATGAAAAACATAAAGGGGATTTTTCAATCTGTAAGCTCACAAACTCAATCCATGTGTTTTTCCAGTATTACTTCGTGCACAAGGGGGAGCTCCTGCAACTCTATATCACAATAAAAACCTGAGGACAATATAGGGAACATAATGGAAATACAGCATGAAAGATTTCAGAAAAGAATACGTATTCTTCACCCAATAGCAAGAACTACTGTATGAATTTGCACAACTTAATCCGCTCTCGTCTTCCGTGTTTAGCATGGATTCCTCAGTACAAAGTATGCTCTCAATGAAGAAGGAGCAAACTTATGTACGTTTTAAACAATCACCAAGGTGAAGCTGTACAAAAAGAAAGGCAGCATGGTTTTTGAAGTAAGACATTGTTTTAATGTAGTGTGTCACAGCAAAAATATATGAGAGCAGGTGGCCAAAGTCTGTGCCACAACAAACACAGATATTTTATTAACAGACACTTTATTAACACTGCTCTGTCAGCCCCCATTCTTGAAATACTCTGCTTTTGAGCACTAAATTTTTTAGCCTTCCTTTCAAGCAGAATTGGTGTGGCATCTTAAGGATGTGGGTGTTCTTTCAGCAAACTGCAATATGGAGATTCCATCACGGAAAAGAATATAAGACATCATCTTGGATCATTAGCAGAGCAGGATTAGAATTATTTTACTATCTACTACTAGAATAGATAACTTACAAATCAGAAATTTCTCTTTCTGTGTATCATTTCTATGCTTTCAGGCATCCACAGTTTGCATAGGAGTTTAAGAGATTTGCTGATAGCAGAAAAGAGCATTCAGCACCACAGTCCAGAAGAGAGTGGAGATTTGTGCTCTCAGTGGGACTATTCTTAATTACATTTTTTCCTTTGTCTCCACAACTCCTTCCTCCAGTACCCTCTTCTTTCAAACTATCTTATATCTCCAGAGCAGATGGGCTATTTCTTGTTCTTACTCAGGTACCAGTACAGGGTCTGTAAGAAGATGGGAGACAACTCTGGCTTTCAATCAGTGTCTGGCTTTTTAACAGTCAAAATATTGCCCTACCTAGCAACTGAAGGAAGCCCTTGAGAGAAACCCCACATGGTTAAGCACTGAGACAGGGAAGAAGCCCAAGCAACCCAGCAGCAAAGACAAACAGCGTGGGAATTCTGCCCACATAAAATGCCCACAGCCTGAGTGCACAAGTTTGCAGTGAAACTGCACCAAGTCTCTGATAAGCCAGTTTCAATTGTCATTTTTCAATGTTTGACAATACAGTTATTTTCTAGGGGCTCACAAAGGTACTCCTTACTGAACGAGGAAGCCCCAAAAGCCAAGCTTCTAGTCCAAAGGATAGGATTCCCAGTGGATAACTGGAAAAGGCTATTTAGTACGTGCTATGTATTTTCCTCCAGCTTAATGTCAGATAGGCTTGATCCATTTCAATTTAAAAATCAGCCTGGAGCATACTCTCAGCATGGTGAATTCAGTGTAAACAGTGAAAAAGTGGCCAAATTGTAAGAAGAGTGTCCTGCAGTGGGAAGCATCATGCAGCCCTGCTGCCATCTCTGCTGGTAATATATGGAACCAGGACCACTAACTATTCTGTCTGCATGCTGGAACCCGACCTCCCCCGCGTTCTAAGTACTCTTCTGTATCTTTTCCAAAAATGTATTGGAAATTATTATTGATTTTGTAATTTTGGCTTTAGGGTTACATTCATCTCACATATGCAACTCTACCCCATGGGAATTTTCAAAAACTAGAGAGAGAGCCCAGTGTACAGATATTGGTCTGTCCTAGTTAAAAAGAGTGACACTCTGTCATTTTCCCTTATGTAAGGCAGCATTAAATTGACTTTGTTTCCATTCCCCAAAATATAATTTGGGACAATAATATACTCCCTCTCAGTATTTTATGCTCAATTTAACTGCTATATTGCATTAAATGATGTGCAATAATGTAACCCCAAATGCAAATGAACTCATATTTGGTAAAAAGAATCTCTTTGTTGCTTTCTCCTAATAGACATATTTTTTTTTTTCAGATTTTAATGAACTAGAAAAACCAAACATCCCCATATGGTGAGAAAATTCCAAAGCATGTATTAAAAGAAAAATCTTATGTCACTCATCAAAAACTAATAGATGTAACACCAAAAAAAAAATTAAGCTATGAAGATGAAACTCAAATAATTAGCAATTATGGAAAAACATCTAATAGAGTACTTTTAAAAGACTCACCACAGGCTAAAAGAGAAAAACATGCAATTCGTATTTCCAGAGTGGAATACATTAAATTTAATCTGAAGCAAATTATTTACAGTTACAAACTTCCCCAGAAAATTAAAACAACACATACACACCTTGAAATAAATGCATCAAGATCTTCAGAACTACTGAAGACATTATCTCTTTCTGCCTAAGAGTAATGTCTTCTTACCATATGAAAGATTTGAGGAGCTTTCTCTGGATCTCAGAAGGTTCCTCACTCAGTCTTTTTCTGGACACTACAGAGTAGTCTGCAGGCCTCACTAAGCTGTATTTGCTGTCTGCCTCAAAGGTATAATTCTGGCCATCTAAAGCAGTCTAAAGATGTCTTGGAAACATTTCTCTTTCCCTGGATGAATGCCCTTCCATGATGCATTAGCATTTTTGGATGCTAATTAGCTAGATTTTAGGAGTCATGCATCATCCTAAAAATAAGCAAAATATGTAAAATCTAGAAATATAGCAATGTTTTCCGGTATCTTGAATTTTTGCTTTGAAAAGCTGGCAACAACTCTGGGAATTTGGCCCTGGAATTCCTGTAACTCCATGATGGTTCACCAGACTGCAAGGCATGAAGGTCGACAGACATTTTGTGTAAGCACTGTAACAGTTGCACAGTTTAAAACTGCAGGAATGAGGTTTCCATGCAGTAAACAAAATACTTGGGTATTTATCTCTGCTGCATTTACCTTTCACTGAACATAATTAAAGGGAGTTGCAGTCATATGGAGAACACAAAGAACTAGAATTCTTTTATTTCTATATACAAATAAACCATTTCTGTGCTGTGTAGCTTCTTCTGCCACATTTGCCATGGGACTCCAGATGAAACAAGGTGATGAGTATTTGTCATGTACTTACTCACTCAGCTTCTCTCCAGAGAAATGTGTACAGTGTGGGAGGAAGAAGAATGTCTGTTTTATACACGGCTTGGAAAGGAAGATAATATGGTTTGCAAAGGACTTTGTTCTTGTAAAAGTCACTGAGCAGTTTGAGCCTGCCCTAGCCAAGTTCTGTCTCCTACCCAAGAAATTATTTTCTGCAGGAAGAGTCCTGTTGTGCTAGAAAAGCCCAGCTATTGGCAAAGGTATTAATCATTAAATTTTGCTCAGTTTCTAAAATACTTTGTACCTGAGAGTGTTTACCACCCTTAGCTGAGCATCACTTCCCATTACTGGGGGATATTACCTTCTAGGGGAGATAGACATTTTTACCTTTTTACCTTTACTGTTACTTCTATCTGCTTCAAAAAACACAAAAATATCTTTTAGTTTGAATTCTGCACCTGGTGCTCTCCTTGAGAAATCAAACAAGACCCCTGACCTGACTTAACTGCAAGTGTACCACTGAAATGCCAATAACCTAAAGAAGCAGTTAGACATAATTCATAACTGTTACGTAAAATTCTTACAGAATCCAAGGTGCTAAGTATCTAAGAACAATTAACTCAGTGCATGGAAAAGTATTTATGTCCCTATAGGGCAAGGCTGTGTCCAGAAGTAGTATAGCTAGTGAATAAGGCTCTAGGAAAAGGAACTGCATACTGTTACATGTATGCATTAAATAAAACCTAAATGTGACAATTAAAAAAGGACACTACCCTTAAGGAAGCAAGATAGACAGACAGGGAGAGGTGGAAGTAGTTATTTTTGGATTAAGGAAACACACTAAAATATTCTTTGTCTTCGTCTGCTGTCGAGAGATGCTTTTTGTACAACAAAAATACCTTTAACCTTTTAAAGATGCTTCACACAAATGCATCCAATTAAACTCCAATGTCCAGAAAAAAGACATCTGAGCATCTGTTTATTAGTGTAACTTTTCTACTCCTGCCATTCAGAAATTCTAGAAGTTATCAATCTTTACAGCAACACCTGACACTATTTCTTCACACTATCTTTCTACATACATACTCTATCCCACTACTGAAACTGCCACAGAAATATTCATGAGTTCTTTCATGTGGGTCCTCATCTGGAGAGGCTGAAGGCACAGAACTATTTTACAAAGGGGAACTGGGATGTAAAACTGCTCTCTGAACACAGGAGAAAATTCACCCTGAGCAAAGGGCCAGAACAATGCAACAGTTCAGACTCAGGAAAGCCTTAAAATAGGATTTAATAATGAATTTTATGATCCACTAGCTATACACTGGTCTTGTCATAGTGCTGCTTTTCTTCCTTATCCTCAGCACTTTTCCAATGAAGACCAAGCAACCAAGATTGTAACACAAACTTCCATAGCAGTACACTTCATAATAATCCTGAACCAGCTGCTTTCTTCTGTTAATTGATACCATGTCGAAGGCATTCTTACAATTGTATACTGTACTCAAATGCATCAACCACATGCTTTGCATTTGCACTCAGTGATTTTCAATTGAATGCTGAATACACATTTTTCATAACCAAATTCCTCCCCCTCCAGCAAAAAAAAAAGGGCAAAACAATGTGTGATTTACCTTATTACAATTTTTAGAAACTTGGCAAAGAGCACTGCTTGACATACTGTCTTTATCTGGCATTCCTAAAAAAAGAATACAGAAAATAAATACATCCTGTACATTCTTTGAGTGACAGTGAAAATATTTATCAGTAGAATGGGGAATTTGAGGGTTCAATACTTTGATAGCATATACATTAATCTGTGATTTTTAAAGAGTAAAACATTTATTCGGAAAAAAGTTTCCTCTAGTGAACACAAAGAAGACAAAAAGCTAACTTGGGTCAATATTTTAAACAGCTTGCTAAGCACAGTACTTTTTCAAAACTTAATATCTGAAGCATGTATACAGGAGTTATTTGTATTTTTCATTTAACATTATCTGTGTGTCAGTACCTGGCAGTCAAACATGTCACTGAATTTGCACTTATCAGCGTTGCTATGCTATGCTGTACTACTATCCTGCAAAGAAAACATACTGAACACCTAACACAGGAGACAAAACTTGCAGATGAAATTGCCAGCCATCAGATACTGTCCTGCTTGGCATCAAGATAATCCCTGGCAAATAAATAAAAGTGCTTTGATTTACATAAGTGACTAATTCCAAAGGCTGCCTTTGGATTCATGTCTACAGTGCTACCCCACAGCTTGACAGGTTCTCACGAGGCAGAGACATACACAAAATTATTTAGTATGTAACAAAGGTTAGAGGTGGCATGTTTACTGCAAGCACAAGCACTAACCTAGATTGTCCAGCAAGTTGTGTAGCCCATCCTAACTAAAAAAATTGAGGCAGTTTGTTATATTTATTTTACTAGCAGGACTCATGGCCATGTTCCATGGTTCATGTAACACAAGTAGTAATATGTTACATGACATCATCCAGTATGTTTGAATCAACAGGCCTGAGTCATAATGCAGATTTTTGTACACCTCTGTGTACACTTGTATACAGCTGGGAAGGCAGCTGGGCCTTCCAAAGTGTCTTCTACTACATGCAGTATTAATGCAGTTGTAATACCAACCTGAATTAAATTTTTAAGATTCAATACCCAAACCCAGATAGACTCCATCTTCCCCCTTCTTTCCTTTTCTCATTTGCTTGCCCACCACTTGATATCTAACTTTTCATACTTACTGTCATTGTTGGAGCCAGTTTCCATAACACCATAAGGAGGAGTGAGAAGGCCAGACATATACTGTCGATATTTCTGAAAGACAGCAATGGCACATTCAGTCAGATACAGATGTATAAAGCCATTCAAGGGAATATGTGTTATTTATATTTGTGTGTCTCCTGCCTTGTGCTTCTCATGCACACATGAGATATGAGACAATCAAATATGTCTTTACTTTTAACACTACAAGGTCTGCTTTCTTGACTGAAGCGCACACTGCTTTTATTTCATCCAAAGCTGTGATAAACCAGTTCCCTCTTTCATCCTCCCCAAAGCATGACTTTCAGGGTTCTAATAAATCAATATTTTACTTAGCTGTGTGATTTCCCATACAAATTGTTTTAAAGCTCATTTGAAATTACACTACTAATCTGAATCCAAGCTAGAAATCTACTTTATTATAGGAATGGAGATGAGCCAAGGATTCATAAAAATCATGTACAACAACTGTTTTGGTGTCAGATTTGAAATATACAGGATGTAGTGAAAACACTAAACATTTAAATCCAAGACACTAAGTTTGGTATTCAGAAACTTCAAGGCTATGAAACACACAGACTAAACACCTCATATTATGTATAGCCTCATACAAAATCTGTATTAGCAGATAAAACTTTGTAACTGTAAAAATAACATCCCTTATACCACTATAAGATACATAATTGTAACTGATGTCAGCAACTGGTATTTTTCTACAGTGAATGCTGATGACATGATCAGTAAGGTTCAAAGCTCTGTCTAAGGCTTAAGAAATTCACAGAAACTACAAAAATAACACCAAAGGAAAAAAAGAAGTCCTTTTATCAAATACAAATCATTCCATGGATAAGAAACACATTTTTGTTTCCAATCACACTATATTACTGTCATGATTAAGGATAAACAATTATCATTCCCTTCTGGAACTGTCAGAAACCAAGCTTGTGCAATAGAGATTCAGATGTTCAGTGTAAATAAAATTTGTCTTGCAGTCCTTTGGGTGTGCAGTGAGCTCAAAGTGAACAACCAACCAGCTGAAATTCATGCAGGTTTCAACTAAGCACACATAGTAATTGAGACAGTGCAATTTTAGTGCAATAGTGCAATTTTAATTTAAAAGTTTTATCCTTTGCTCTATGGAGTTGTTTGGATATATTCACTTTTAAAATGTTGCCTGCTGAATTTTAACAATGCTTGACTTAGCCTTCATACATTTATTTTTCTTGGAAATGGAAATGAAAATATCATCAATTCTAGCACTAAAGACTGAATGTCTTGCATTCTAAATAATAACAAAAGCTACAAAGATTACATTAATCTTAATAATCCAATCCTATTTTTAGACAAGCTATTACATCCTAAAGCTTAGTAACATATTATTTAAATCTCACCCATAATCCAGCTGAATACTCGTAGAAACAAATCTATGCTATATCCCTGGTCAGTCATACAAAACAAATGCTATTTCATTTGAGGATAAAACTCTCCTGTTTTCTTTCTCAAACCATTCACTTTCCCATATTCTGCATCCAGTCCCATGCCTGGAACTCAATGAGAGAAGAACATAAGAAAGAATTATTTTCTCAGTTCAACTAGTAAATCACACATATAGACCAAGGGAGAAAGTAACTTTCATTGGCCAAATGGAAAAAACAAAAACCAGAACTGTCCCAAAGGGGTTGAAACAACATTTTATTCAAACAGTAGATAATGTTTTGTTCCACCTTCTACTGAGTTTGGTGTAGAAACGTGATTTTTAGATGGAAAATTGGAATGTTTCATTTGGGACAAGATAAAAACAAATTGTATAGGATGTTTTTCTCTTCTTCGTCATCATTCAGCTGATACTCATTTCTTTGTTCTGTTTTTTTTCCAAAATAGCATTTTCCCAGAAATACATTACTAGTCCACATTTAAGCCACTTCTATAAGGAACTTAAACTGTGGGAAGAATAATTCTTTTATTTCCTATACCATATCCACAGCCATCATACACTGCATGGCATTTTTTTTCTGATTAATTCCCTAATATTTTTCCTGATTATTCTTCTCATGAGACAAAACATAGAACGCAGCATACAATTTCCAAAATATATGAGGGCCCATCTTCAGAAAAAGCCTAGAGATAGGGTAAGCCAGAATTAGATACATAACTTTAGAGAAGGCACCTAATCCTATTCAGGCACACCTCATGCTCAGGACACCAAGGTTATCAGGAACAAAAGCACAGACCCCAATAGATAAGGTAGGATTTCAGTATCGTTCCCAAGGATGTCCACTCTATCACCTTCTGCGTGAGGTCCCACCCTGCCCTGGCATCAGTCCGCTTATGAGTCTGATACAGCAAACCCTGTGAGCAGTGCTGCCTGTGAAGGAGTTCAAGCAGCATCACCAGAAGAGGAATTAATTCAAGGCATGCCCTCAGAAAGCTCAGTTGTTCATACTCCTCCAGGGCACCTCTGCATAAATGAAACCTTCTTCTATACTGGGTATCTCTGGAGGGAGGGCTGATACAACTGCCTACACATGGTCTCTCATGAGGATATCTCAGTGGGTGTGGGCTGACATAAAAGGTATAATTTATGCCTAAACTTGTGTCACCTCATCAGCCAAATTAAATGTCAAGGGAAACTTATTTCAAGGAGTCAGGGAAACATCGTTTGCTGGGAAACCTAAGAATGTGAAGACAGACCTAAGTAATTGCATAAAGATTTGCCAGTATCAGATGGAATAATAAAGTTCCAGGAATGAGATCACTGAAAGCTGAGATAATGAGACCTATCTTGTTACCGTACTGTCTGTAAATGAAAATAAAATTCTGTAAGTTAAATTATATTCATAGGTGGCATTTAAAATTATCCTGAAGATTAATAGACTAGATATTTACAAAAGGCTTTTGAAAATGTATTCCACAGGTGGTATAAAGTCTGGGAAAGGCTTTCCTTATGAAAGACAGCAACAATTATCAAATCATCATATGCTTGTTTATTACCAGAAGTCTTCAAGTTTCGTAAATCCAACATGACAGCAGTTTTTAAAGCTACATTCAATGACCTATTCACTCTGTCTTCAGATTTTTACCAATTTATAAACTCTATCATGCAACAGCTTAAATAACAGACAATTCCTACATCTAATCTGACAGCATAAGTAATAAAGACAGTATTTTTTTCCAGTTGCTGACTGCCTAGTACCCATGCAGTGGTGGAAATTAACACATTTTGACCTTTTCAGCAACTGATATGGCCTAAAGCAAAGAAGACTGCTGACAAGAAACAGTTGAGGAGAGGAGAAAAGGAAGAAACAGAATCACACACTTGCCCTGCTGGGAAGGTGCTGTAAGGGAATGGTTTCTAAGGCCACTCATTGTCAGGTTTTTCAGTGTGTTTCTCTGCACGCTCAAATTAAGGCTTTATTTGTAGGTAGCTGTAGTTTGTCTCATAGGCTTTCATGACTACAATAGATTTTCTTCAGCTGTGAACATAATTAGATATATTTTTATATGCTAATGTTTAGAAAGGCAATTACTATAATTTTGATGCAAGCTATCTCCGAATTCCTGGAAAAAAAGGCTTCTAGCATTCACAAGGTACATAAAATATGTCTTTGGTCTTTGTGGTTAGTCCCTTCTCTTCTGCTGCAAGTAGTGAAAGGCTAATACCTGTTTACAAACATTCCAGAATAAGTCAAGTACGTGTAAAGAATATAGATGAGCCTTTGTTGTCCATGTTCACTGTGTGAAAACCCCAGCAGTCTAACAAGAAAGACCCAGGACTGGTGAAGGGAAGAGCCCCTGGGTATAAAGATTTGAACACAGATTCTACACCAAATACCCACCAAGGGCAGCAGTTCTGCAGTTGGCCAGTAAGAGCTGTGCAATAAGGTTTGTAGCACTAGGGACTCAGGCTTCTGATGTTTCCCCATGCCATGGTGAATCTACAGATACTAGCAGTCTGTGCCCAGATACTAGGAATTAAGTGTCTTGTAAGACTGGAGACAGTTTTGTAGACCTCAAAAGGAACTTGGTTCAATACATTTATTTTTTTTTTTCCTTCTTTTTCTCCTCTATTCACAATCTCAATCACAGTGTCATTTCCCACCATTTCTGCTGCCTCCTTTTCTGCCTACCTCTAACTAGCAAGAGAAGGTAACAAAGCAAAGCCTGCCTAACTTGCAAACTTGGGAGTAACACAAAATAATTAATTTCAGGTACAGAAGTCCTAAGCCAAACATCAGGGTGACCTTTCCACACATTTTTCAAAACCTTGTGTAATTATTTCATCAGATGGTCTTATTGTGACTATTGCCCGAGTTCTGCAATACTCCTGTACTAGCTGTCAACACTTCTGCAAAGGTTTCTCTTGGGGAACATATGCTGTAGCTTGGCAATGTAAGCCAGCTTCTCTATTTTCTTTTCACAATAAATAATTGATCACTGATGCTCTCAGTACAACTCAGTTCTTCCTCTAAGTTGGCAGTGAACCACCTCCCTTGTGAGCATTACTCACGAGGGCATGCCACTCCCATGGTACACTATTTCTTCTCTTTTCTCCAGAACAATGAGGAGAGGAGCCCCTGAAAGAAAAAGACCATGAAGATTTTTGGATCTCTTTTCACTCATCAAATGAAATAGAGACTGCTGTCCCAAAATCTTTAGATCTCATACTCTGGTCTTCACTGAACCAATGGGTAAAATCTCAGGTCATCTGCCTGCTATCTGTTTGTGTTATCCAACAAAATGTGCCTAATGTTCTTACAGATCTTCACAAAAAAAAACCACCCCAGACTGATTATCACACTGATAGTTGTTTTTTATGCCAATCTTGTTACAAAGGGAAAAACAAACAGCACCCTTGCTTTTGCCCAATAGTATGTGCTGAAACCCCCTGCAGACGCGACTGTCTTCTTAGTATGTTTAAAAATTACCAAGTGTATTTCTTCTAAGCAAGCTCAATCAGAAAATTTCCATATATTTCAGGTCACTTAACTGGAATCACAAAAAAGACCTAACCCATGGCTGTTTAATACTAGATAAAAAATCATTGTTTGAAACTG